TAATTCACATTGCCATTTTCAGCATTTCTCTTGCTTTGCAGTGTAATAGAGTTGTTAAAATTTCGGGCTCTGCTGTCAGACTGCTTGTGTCCGAATCCTGGCACCATTACTTACCAAGTGTGTGATTTGGGCAAGTTACGTGTGACTGCTTTGGGCTTTGGTTTTCTCATCTGTGAAGTGGGAGTCATTACTGTGTAGGATTATTGTAAGGACTAAGTGAAATGATACATGCCACAAACAGAAACCCATTCATACTAGCTTAAATATGTAAGGTTTTAAAAACAATTATTTAAGTATTTGTTTATAATTGTAAGGCTGCGTGAGCAGTCTCACGGCTGCCCTGTGACAGCTGGAACTGCGCACAGGCACTGGAAAGGGAGCGGCCTTTGAGGCTTCTCCCTCCATCCCCGACAGCTTTGTTTATTTCCTTCTGTGTGTTGGCTCTGTTTTCTGCAGACCAGTTTTCTTAGCTTATTATCATTGTGTATATCTCCAGAAATTCTTTCCCCCAACTCTATACAACTTACTGGGTGAACCACTTTGCACCAGCTGACTCAGCTTCACAGAGTCCTGCTCCCAGGGTCCCGGGTGAGAGGAAGTCCAGTCATCTGCGGCTGGAGGGGATGAGGCCATGCGGTAAGAACGGTGGCTCTTTCCAAAGACTGCCGGTGGCTTAGGGGCTCTCTAAGTAGGTGGTGCAATGGTGGGGGTGGGGATGGCAATAATTGGTAAACCTAGTATAATCACGGTGACAGCCGTCAAGGGTGATTAAAAGCTCTTTGCTTGGGCCATTAATTATTTATTTTTAAAAACCGTGTGGTTTTTCTTTGGAGGGATAATATACCTATAGAAAAGGACGTATTTGGTAAGTGTATAGCTTTGTCAAGCTGAACACACCTGTGTAACCAGCATCCAGCTCAAGAAACAGAATCACTAGCACCCACATGGCTCCTTTTGTTCCCCTCAAGTCACCACTCTTAAGGGTAGATGAGCTTTGCCTGTTTTTATGTTTTATAGTAATGGAAACATACGCTATATACTTTTTTTGTGTCTGGCTTCTTTTGCTTAACATTGTGAGATTCATCAATATTGTTGTATATATTTGAGGAGCACTTGTTTTCATTGCTGTATTCCATTGTGTGAATACACTCAACTTGATCTTGGCTACTACTGATGGCCATTGGGCAGTTTTATGTGTTTGTCTATTCCTAATGGTGCTGCTGTGAACCTGTTTTGCTGAACACGTATACGTTACTACTAATGACTTTTACCAGCACAGGCTCATGTAGAGTGTGGTGAATCATCTTTCATCACATATAATTAAATTGTTGGTCTTTTATGGATGAATTTTGATTTGGGGGCTTTTTATCTGGTGATTTCTTATCATTTTATATTGTGACTATCGTGATATGAGGGCAGGGTATTATTTTAAGCATTTTGCATACGTGAAGGAACCTTGAGACGTTTTGATAGGTGCTGAGCTGTTTGTTGATGGAATGAAAGAACAAATGGATGGATGTGCATGCCTTCTTCTTCTTCATCCGGGAGCAAGCCCCTGCGTACAGGAGAGGCTCCACTTGCCATGTTGAGGAAAGATTGACCTGCTGTTTAGCCAAAACTCATTGACTGAGGGATGGACAGGGGACCCAAGCCAGGCCAATCATATCTTTTTTCTGGGTATTTAAAATTTGAGACTAAAAGAAAGAGATTGGGCACTGCTGAGTCCCTGTGACTGTGCCTAGAGAGAAGACCCCAGAGACTCCAGCTGTTTGGTACCAAAGGCACACTGGTTTTGCTCTTTTCTGCTTCCTTGAAGCAGATAAATATCTACATATGTGACTGTTAAAAGGCAGTGCAAGACTATTTTGATTAAGTTGCAAAATGCAAAGTAGGGACAGTAAGTGTTGTAACAGGTCAACATGGAGAGACCAGTAAAGACTAGCTTCATTGTGTATTTGCCTTGGCTTGCTTTCTTGAGAAGAGCTATTGTAAGTGTGATTGTGTTTTCTGAGCCAGGAATTGCAATATTAAGGCAACAGTTCAGGAGAGGGGTAATGAGAACTAGAACTAGGGAAGCAGTTTGGAACTGCAGAGGACGGGTGGTAGAGATCTTACAGGTAAAAGCTTTTTAAGTCTTAAAAACTGATTTAATGTGGGGGTAAAGAGGGAAGTCAGAGAGGATGCTAGGTTTTGAGTTTCTGTGTTAGGAAAGACAGTGGTAACCCCATTATAAATACGGGCATTTGAGGGAAGAAATGGAGAATGGATAAAGGTGAGTTCAGTGTGGGATATAGTAAGGTCCTGGCGAGACAACCGAATTTTCCTGGCCAAGAATATTGCCCTTGGAGTTAGGAAGACTTGGAGTTCCATCTGTGCTTTACACCTCACTCTGTCATCTTGGGCACCTTATTTATTTAGCCTCTTTAGATCTCAGTTCCCCATCTATAAGGTGATACCTTGCTGTAAGGATTAAAGTGAGACAATGCCTATAAAGGGTTTTGCTTATTGCCTGGCAATTAAGTACTCATAAAATATGTATTAATAAGATGATGATGGGCTGATGTCTGGAGTGCAATTGAAAAACAGGGACTGGAGCTCGGCAGTGAGGGATCTGCTTAGAGGTGATGATGGTGCAAGGAAGAGAGTGTGGAGAGGAGAAAGAAGGTAGCCCCAGTCATGTCTGCTTAGAGATGTGAACTGTTTGATAGGAAAAAGGAGAAGCAGGAGAGGACAGGCTCAAAGGAGGAGGAGGGTGGTCAACAGCAACTAGGGCTCCTGTGAAATTAAGGATATGCCCTATTTTGGTTGAGTATCTTTTTTCTTCCTAAAGCTTGAGTATCATTACAATCAAGTAAATTGCCCTGGCTGGTGTGGCTCAGTGGATTGAGTGCTGGTCTGTGTACCAAAGGGTCGTCAGTTTGATTCCCAGTCTAGGACACATGCCTGGGTTGTGGGCCACGTCCCCAGTGCAGGGTGCACAAGAGGCAACCACCCATTGATGTTTCTCTCCTCTCTTTCTCCCTCCCTTCCCCTCTCTAAAAATAAACAAAATCTTTAAAAAAAAATCAAATAAATTGAGGTAAGGGGTAGCAATATGTTAAGTCGCTCAGATGTATAAGAAGACTTTTAGGCTGGGTCCTCTAGGTAGCAGCTGCTATTTGCAGGCCCTCTCTTGCACAGTGTGGAGATGAACCAACACCTGGTAATTCTTTCTGTGGCTTCTGGGCTTCAGTCATGTCTCCTCCCACACTGCCAAATTTCTGCCTGCTGCACAGACCTCTGGAGGAGAGCCAAGAAGATGAACTGTAAAGAGAGAGAAAGAGACAGGCAGACAGACAGACAAAAGGACAACTTAGGCTATTCATGATATTGGCAACAGTTTTCTCCATTTTCATTTCTTGGAATGCTTTTGATTTTTAAAAATTTGCTTCCTTCTCTCTAACATTCCTCAACAAAACTGGTAAAAGTTAGAAAGGAGTTGTTTTTGTACATATGTGGTGGTGGTAGGACTTCATTTAAGCTAGGTCATAGAAGCAAAGGGGAAAAGAAGAGAAAGGTGTAGAGGAAAGAAATTAAGAGAGGGGGCATAAGGAGATGTCAGGAAAGAGAGAAGAAAAAAGAGGATCAGAAAGAGGAGGGGCTGATGGGATGGAGAGGTGAAGAGTGTGCTCTACGAAAACAGGTTGGTAGGTTTTCTAAAGTTTTGAAAACTGGAATCTAAAGTTGGAATCTGTAGTCCAAATTGTCCCCTGTGGGGAAACTAAGCAATCTGCAGTATTTTGCCGGCCTCTTAGCTAGTGCATGGGCCTGGGATCCACTAAGAAGGGTGTGTAGATGGGAAATGGCAGCTCTGGAGCCAGGCTCATGGGTGCACTATGTCTAAGGCACCAGACCACCCATGCACCAGGATAGGAGCCAGCGATGGCTTTGGCCCTCCCCAGCTTCTCTAAGTCCTGGTGTGGTTTGAGTTCCCTGGTTACAAAACTCTGGAGTAGAAGCCCTGCCTTTTGGGGATTAAAAACATGTAAAAAGACAACACGTGGAAGCAAATTTGATCTCATATTGCAGTTATAGATTTAAAATAATGGTTTTCACTCATTCTCGAGTTAACAGTAATGATCAGGTGTGTCTTTTAGGGTTGGTGGTGTTCCTTCGGTCATCCCCATCCATACAGTTATCCAGAAAGCCTTATAATCCTGGCTTTGCCAGTGTGGAAGTAGACAGTCGCATGTCTCTGAGAACTGTAGAATATGTGCACTTTTTGTTTCACAGGGGTTGGCTCTAAGAATTTCAAGTGGTATTCTTTTTTCCTCCTAGTTTTGGTTGATTATTGGCACATGGCTGGATTAAGCACTTGTTTTTGCAAAGCCCTGGGATATTTCCCTAAGCGTTCATGCCTAGCAGCTTTTTTCTTTCTTTTCTTTCTTCTCTTTCTTTCTCTCTCTCTCTTTCTCTCTTTCTTTTTTTTGTGGTTAAGTATTCAAAGTGTTTCAAAACTTCAGACTATTGCTGGAGACCAGTCAGCTCCTTTAGGAAGCCCTTTTCTATGGGAATGGGTTTATTTAGACTTGATTTTCAAAGGCCAGCTCCCAGCGGCCAAGGCTCTAGAGTGGGAACCCGTTCCAGAACAGCCGGGGGCATTTTCTCTGCATTCCCTGCATTGGGTTTTCTGAAAGGGTCAGGGGCGTTGGTAGGACTCGGGTCTGCGGGCCCTACCCCGCACCGCCTTTCCCGTCGGCGCCGGCTCACCCCTAGTGCCTGCGCTTTCCGCCGCGTTTCCCACAATCCCTGGCGGTGCCGCCGCTCCCAAGCTCTGGCCAGACTCGCGTTGGAGCCGAGGCCTCGGCGGTCCTTCGGGTGCTGTCCGGAAAGTCTCGAATGCGTGCCTGCTCCGCGGCTCCCGAGCCCGGTTCGGCCATTTCCGGCCCAGAGCACTTCGGCAAGTTCCGCAGGCACTTGTCGGAAATGGCCGGCCGCCGGCAGGGGGAGCGGGGGATCCGGCGCGGCCTGGAAGGCGGGCGGCGGGCGACAAGAGCGGCTTTTGGGAGCCCGAGTTTCACACCGGCGGCGGCGGCGGCTCGTCGTTCCTGAACTGAGAGCCGGTAGGACTCCTGGTGGCAGCGGCAGGAGCCCAGAGAAGCCGGGGGGCGGGGGGCGGTGGCTCGGAAGGGGCTCGCGGTAGGAATCTCGGGGCTGGCCCCCAGCGCAGGGCACCGGGCGGGCAGGCGGACCGGGTCTGGCAGTGCTGGGGCGACGGGACCCCGTGGGATGCTGGTGCCCGGAGCGGCAGAGGCATGCAGCCTTGAAGTAGGCCTTTCTAGATGTCTCGGGGACCCGAGGAGGAGACCTCTAGGGCCTTAGCCACCAACGAGGAGGGTTATCGGGTGTCTGTGGGGCTTTAAACACGAACTCCCCACCCCCACACGCCCCTCACATCCCCGGTTCGGTTGCCTCGCACCCACTTCCACTCCGTTTTCTGAAAGCTCAGCTTCAGCTGTGCAGCCTTTTCTGCGCCTTGAAGCCCTCCACCGTTCCTTTACCTTCCCGCGCCTATTCCGTATTTGTCCAGCGGCTTGTGTAGAGCATCTGCTGTCGATGAAGGGGCTTCTCCCCTGCCCCCACTCCTGTTTCCCCTGTGCAAACACTCCCACATCTGCTTTGCGCTGCATTCAGACACAGTCGCCTGCAGCTGCTCTTCCTTTGGCTCGTTTCGCCGGGCTCACCTCCTTTCATCATGAACCCATAGTCAGAATAGCCACTTCCTGTCCAAGGGTCCAGGTGCCGCTGTGTTGTGCATCTGGGGCTCTGGTGCCCAGGCCCTGTGGCCATGGGCCTAGCGCTGCTAGGGCAGGAGAGGGACTGCAGGGTGTATGTCTACAGTACTGAAATCTTTGCCGAGACCCGACCCGTGCTGCGGGAGGTAGTACAGATCCGGAGCCCGTGGGATATCAGGCTGGGCTGCCAGATTGCAGCTAGGGTGTTAATCTCTTCTCCACATCCAGTGGTTCAGTCCCTTTTTACACGTCTGTGGCGATTAAAGGACTTGAATTTGGTGGATTTCTTCCCCTAACCTGGACTTTTTTCTTCTTTCCTTTTCAAAAATTCTAAAGGCTTTAGCAAGTCTTCTTGGTTTGACTCGCGAGGGGGAGGAAACACAGAACAGGACATGTCCATTTTTCCCCATACATGATTTACTTAAGAGGCGTTTTTAGCATTTCTTCTCATTTTGTCTTATTCTTCCAATTTAGTAGCTTCCTTTTTGAAGGTTGGGCTCTCTGTGCGTTCTTTTGTTTTTAAAAAGTCTTTGTGTGTTACAGCCATGCAGACTGCACTTTTCCGTGTTTTGCTCAACAATTAGTCTTTTAGTTAATTAACCAATTAGTCTCAGCCATCAGAGTGCCTGGAATAGTAAACTATGGAGCCTTGATAGTCTTGAGTGAAGCTAAGCATTCTCAACAACTTACTTAGCAGGGGGACTTTTAAATATTTTATAATGAAAGAAAAGCCATCTTCTTAAACTCTTATTTACTGTGTTAAAAATATCTTATCCTGCGGGGAGCCTGAGGAATCCTCAAAGTACTCATAAGTATGTGGGAAATTGGTTTAAATGCTTTCTGGAAGGGAATTAGAATCATGGAGATACGGTCGATGCTTTCCATTTTGCTAAAGTTTCTGCCGGCTTTACTCATTTATTTCACTTTTAGGGCCTTTGTAATCATTGAGCTAACCCTCCTTCTCCTAGGTCTTATATAACTCAGGCTAAATATGCCCATCTCCTGCAGATGTTTCTTATTTAACAGTTTCAGATCCCCTCATCAGCCTCCTAGTCCCCTGCCCTCATTTACTTTATTATGCCCCTCAGCACAGTATACAGTATTCAATATACAATGTCACCTAAAAGAGTAGACAGTAGCCTTAACTCTTTTGTTTTTGACACTATACTTTGTGTAAAAAAATCCCCAAAAAACAGAAAAATAAGGTGATAGTTTCTTTGCTATGCAGTCACATATTCTTGACTCACTGAAATTCTCTTCAACTGAAATCACAACTCTGTGAGTGTGTGTGCTGCTGTTAAACTAAGTCATTTCCGTGTATATGGTTTGGGGTTCTGAGTGTTGAACTTTGCCTTTCTATGACATTTTATTAGATATTCCAGATTCCAAAAATCTTTTTGTAGCCTTGGTTTTTCCAGCCTAGGCTTATCCTCTCTAGCGTTACTTCCTTCCTTTATTTCTGAAGTAGAGCTGTAAAATACAGTATAAAAACACTGTGCTCAGAAGGGAGAAAATGGAAAATTAAGGTGTGCTTTCAAGGAAGGCACTATGCTTGAAACCTTAGAGGTAAAACAAGAGGTCTTAGGAATAGCCTTGCTGCCTTGAGTTGATATGTTGATAGTATTGCCCCCGGCAAAACAAGTCTGCCTGTGCTTTCTGTGTATAGGGCAGTTAAAAGTCCATGGGGTCCTAGAATCTAAGGATTTTTTGAGGGCGTCTAGTCCAGCCCTTTAATTTTTTAGTTCAAAAGGATAAGGAGACTATGAGCCAAGAAGGACAAGGAATTGTGAAGTTACGGGATCTGATGAATCAGAGGTAATGATGAAGGGATGGCAAAACTGAAGCCTCAAGTTGAATTTACTCATGAAAGTTGAAGCAGTATGCCTGAGTCATAAAGCTGATTTATGTATGCCTTAGCAAACTTTTACTTCATTTTTTTGTCTCATATAGGGTGGGTGGCCTGGGGCACTAGTGCCTCCACAGCATTTAATAAAAACCATAACTTCTTGAGAAACAGGAACCTTAGAGAAATCAGTTTACTCTCTAAGCACTTGCACATCAAGCTGACTGTTCCCGGTATGTTAGCACAATCCATCTGAAGACATTTAAAAGTGTTTACCATTTGGGCCTCTGCTTTTTAATTTCCTCTTTATTTCCTTTGACCACTGTTGTATTGCCTTTACTTTTATTAATGTCATGTTGCAAATGCTTCCCCTAGTCTTTTAATTGAATCTAAACTTTTTTCTTTAATTTTTTAATTTAATTTATTTTTTAAAATTATATTTTACTGATTATGCTATTACAGTTTTCCTGATTTTTCGCCCATTGCCCCCCTCCACCCAGCACCCCCACTCCCTCAGGCCATCCCCCCACCATTGTTCATGTCCATGGGTCACGCATGTAAGTTCTTTGGCTACTCCATTTCCTATACTGTACTTTGCATCCCCATGGCTATTCTGTAACTACCTATTTGTACTTCTTAATCCCCTCACCTCTTCACGCATTCCTTGACACTTTCCTCCCATCTGGCAACCATCAAAACACTTTGTATCCATGATTCTGTCTCTGTTCTTCTTGTTTGCTTAGTTTGCTTTTTAGGTTCAGTTATTGATAGGTATGTATTTTTTTTTCACCATTTTATTGTTCATAGTTTTGATCTTTTTCTTAAATAAATTCCTTTAACACTTCATATAATAATGGCTTGGTGATGATGAACTCCTTTAGTTTTTTCTTGTCAGGGAAGCCCTTCCATTCTAAATGATATCTTTGCTGGGTAGAGCAATCTTGACTGTACATCCTGCTTTTCATGATTTTGAATACTTCTTGCCCCTCCCTTCTAGCTTGCAAAGTTTCTTTTGAGAAATTAGCTGACAGTCTTATGGGAACTCCCCTGTAGGTAACTAACTGCTTTTCTCTTGTTGCTTTTAAGATTCTCTCTTTATCTTTAACCTAGGCATTTTAATTATAATGTGTCTTGCAGTGGGTCTCTTTGCTTCCATCTTGTTTGGGATTCTCTGTGCTTTCTAGACTTGCAGATCTATTTCCTTCACCAGATTAGGGAAGTTTTCTTTCATTTTTTTCAAATAGAGTTCCAATTTCTTGCTCTTTCTCTTCTCCTTCTGGCACCCCTGTGATGTGAATATTGGACCTCTTGAAGTTGTCCCAGAGGGCTGCTTATACTTTCCTCACTTTTTTGGATTCTTTTTACTTCTCGTTCTGATTGGTGTTTTTTTTTTTTTTGTTTGTTTGTTTCCTTATGTTCTAAATCACTGATTTGATTTTTGGCTTCATCTACTCTACTGTTGTTGCCCTGTAAATTGTTCTTTATTTCAGTTAGTGTCTCCTTTGTTTCTGACTGGATCTTTTTTATGCTGCTGAGGTCCTCACTAAGTTTCTTGAGCATCCTTATAACCAGTGTTTTGAACTCTACATCTGATAGATTGCTTATCTTTATTTTGTTTAGCTCTTTTTTCCTGGAGTTTTGATCTTTTATTTGGGCCGTTTTTTTGTCTCCTCATTTTGGCAGCCTCCCTGTGGTTGTTTCTGTATAGGTTGAGCTGCTTTGACTTTGTGTGTTGATAGTGTGGTCTAATGTAGTAGGTGTTTTGTAGGGTCCAGTGGCACAGACTCCCCTATCAAGGTGCACCCTTTGTGTGGGCTGAATATACCCTCCTCTTGTAGTTGAGCCTTGGTCGCTGTTGGCAGATTAATGGGAGGGATTTACCCAGACCAGTTAGCTGCAAGGATTGGCCGTGACCATTTACCCCCAACCTCTGCCCTCTGTGAAGGATCAGCTATGCAGGGGTAGGGTGGTGGTGCTCTGATGTGGTCTGCGGCTGGCTGCACTAGCCCTGGGGCTTCCTGGGTAATACTGGCCAAGGTCAGCCCTCACCTGTGTTTTGCCCAGGGCCACCCTACCTGAGCTATAAAGCAATCTGAAATGGCTGCTACTTGTGCTGGGCTTGGAGATTCCCAGGTGAAACCAAGCTGTGAACTAGGTTGGCTGCTGCTAGTGCCATGCCTGGGGCTCACTAAGGCCAGCTGTTGCTTGTTTGATAGGATTTAGGAAGTTGCGAACATGGCCAAGACCAGCCATTCTTTTGGAAAAGCAGCTTGGGTGGGCCGGAGTCTTGGGGTCTCCAAGGTGAGTCACACAGTTTTAGCCAGTTTAATGGAGTCACAGGTATGGCACCAGCTTGCCAGCTCTGTGGAGGGAAGGTTTAGAAAAGGGACAATAGCCTCTGCTTGCCTTCAGTTCTTCCCTATATGCCATTGATGCCTTTCAAGCTGCTACCCTGGTGCTGCTTGCTCAGAGGAAGTGGGTCTGA